ACAAGACGGCAGGGGAGGGGGGCCTGCCTGCTGCCCTCTTCACAGGTAACCCCATGTGGTTCCCTTGCGCTCCCTTCTTCGTCCCTGTGCTGTGCACAACGCTTTCCACTGGCGCTTTGGCCCTTGGTCCCTGACTCTCCGCCAGCACGTGTATGTGTTCTCCGCTGCTCCTTGCGCCTACAGGCACAGTGTCCACAGCTAACAGCGGTGGCTTTGTCAGTGTGCGCACCAAGGCAGGTGGCTCTCACACCCCATCGCACTCACATGCTATCACATTCACACTCCATTACACACTCTCAAACTCCATCACACACTCTCAAACTCCATCACACACTCTCAAACTCCATCACACACTCTCAAACTCCATCACACACTCTCAAACTCCATCACACACTCTCAAACTCCATCACACACTCTCAAACTCCGTCACCGCACTCTCAAACTCCATCACACACTCTCAAACTCCATCACCGCACTCTGACACTCCATGCTGTAACCTGTCGTGTATCCATGCACTGTGCCTCAAGACTGCCATGCATGCCCCATCATGCCACACCACACCATGCTTCACTCATCTCCTCCGCCCCCACCTTACACCCACCCTCCCTCCCATCCCTCACTCTCACCTCATTTTCTCACATACGCACACACACTGTCACGTACACGGTGCGCACACATGCACACACAGAACCTGTCACCCGCGCTGGACCTGTCAGCGTACGAGGGGTTGGAGGTGCGCGTGCGCGGCGACGGGCAGCGCTACAAGCTCATCCTGCGCACCACTGCAGCGTGGGACGCCCTGGGCTACACTGCCAGCTTCGACACCCTCGCTGGCTCCTGGCACACTGTGAGACCCGCCTGTCACGCTCCACCTCCCTCGCCCTGCTCTGCCCTTGCTGCATGCATACCATTGCACCCCATGACACGCCATGGGGCTCACACGGCACAGCGCTGTGGGTGCGAGGCGCAAGGCCCTGTGGTGGAGCACTGCCATGCACCATGTGCACACGCTGCTGCTCGCCTGCTGTCTCGCCATGCACATGCCCCCACCCGCATGCACCACCGATCACAGCCCCTCCGCCATGGATCACCCAACCTGCAGGTCCGCCTGCCCTTCTCCTCCTTCGCTCCTGTCTTCCGAGCGCGCACTGTGCCTGGAGCTCCCCCCCTCGACACCTCCAATATTGCTTCACTGCAGGTAATTCCTTGTCCCAGTTTATTGTACCCCCTAAACTCAACAGTAACCATTCGTCCTCATATTTACCCCCATGCAGATACACTGATAATCCCATGCCCCAAAGCAAGCTGTTGTGATTTCCTCTGCATGTCCATCTCGCTGCATCTCCTGTTCTTCTCTTCTCTGCTTCCTCAGGTACTGCCGGTTGCTCACTCCCAGTGTCCTTCCTGCTTCAAGGGGTCAAGTACATGTTTTAACTTGTAGCTTGGTGAATTCTTGAGTGCAATTGTCCATCCCGCACCCGTGGCAGCTCATGCTCAGCAAGTTTGAGTACGACGGTCGCCTCAACCCCTCCTTCACGCCTGGTCCCTTCACCCTGCCACTCACGTCCATCGCTGCCTATCCATCAGACCCCTCGCCACTTCCCAGGTGCGCTCCTCCTTCCATCCCTCTTCGTCTCCCACCCCTTCGCTCACCTCATGTACTCGTTTTCTCTCGACCCCTTCACAGCGTTTCAGCCGTGCTGCATATGCGTGCACCACTGCCGTCTGCCCCTGTGCGTGGCACCGTGTGGCTGCAGGATAGTGCACGTGGGGTCAGCGGGGGTGACGCGCCCCAAGCGCCCGGGGCTGGACCTGTCGCGGCAGCCGCCAGCAGTGCGCATGAATGATGAGCTGGGGGGCATCCTCACGTGGAAGCTGCGTGGGGAGGACCTCGTGCACGCCAGTGGGCTGCCCTTCACCGTGGTGCGCCCGTGCGCTCTCACGGAGGAGCCGGTGGGCGCGCCTCTGCTCTTTGACCAGGGCGACAACATCACGGTGAGCCACGCTGCATGCCCTGTGCCAAGCCAACCGCGGCTTGTGGCAGAGGGCCGTCTATGGGGCGCCCGCATGCTGGGCAAGGCATGGGGCTTGGAGTTTTGGCATGGGGCAAACCCTGAACCTTAATGTTAAACATTGAGTGCAGAATTTCAGCATCCCATAGTGGCCACACCCCGGCATGCCCTGCAGATTCTTTTTGGACATAGAGTTACTGGGCCTGGCTAGCACCTGCCGTACCACTGCCGCCTTTAGTGCGCTGTGGTGCAGACTATAATGGGCCACGTTCATCACTTGTGCGGAAGCCTGGATGGGACTGCCTGGGATCGCATGACATGCAATGTGCAGTCCAACTCCCGGTCGCCCATGCCACGTCATCCACCATGGTGTGGCACTCAGGCGCTCACATGCCATGATTTCCTTGTTATCACATGCTAGGGGCGAAGCTGCGCATGGCAGTGGCAAGGGAGTGGGCCGTGGCCATGATACCCTCACAAGTGTCGGGAGATGGCCACAAGACACCTGGATGTAGAACAAGAGTAATTATATGTGGCTCAAGTTTGTCCACCTTTGTGCCCGACCGTTGTCCTCGTGCCATGGCTGTAATCTTTCTCAACCTGATCGGTATGGTGATTTGTTGCTGAGCTGTTCAGCCCTTTCACTGGAAGTGTTCCACCCTTTTTGCCATGTGCTCTTGTATGTACCGCCGTGTTGGCAGGGCAAGATTGGAAGGGCGGAAGTGGCTCGGATCTGTGTGGAGGCCTTGTCATCACCTGCAGCTGCCAATAAAACATTTGAGGTACGGTGGTGCGCACGCACCTACAGCCCCGCACTAACACCAGCACTGCAAGGTTCTTTCCAGGCCGTGTACTTGCACCTTTTCATGTGCTTGGTTGGCACCTCCTGCGTGAGCATGGAGGGGTCTGATACAATGCGGTGCACAATTTGGTGTGCGATATGGTTTGCGATGTCGTGTGTAATGTGGTGGTGCAGGTGAAGAGCACTGTGCCGTTCAGTGAGCCATTCACCGTGGACCCCAGCAACCCGCCCACCCCATGCGACACTCAGCCTTTCTTCGCAGCACTGCAGCCGGGTATCACTGGGAAAGAGCTGCTGGAGGAGAACGTCTCTGCGTGACGTGCGGGTGGGCAGGGCATGCTTCTCCCTGCACTCTTGCAAGCTTCATCCCGATTCCCACTCATGTCCCACCCACCATCGCTCATGCATCTGCAGCACGCCCTCATATGGCATGTCAGGCCAAATCACCCAGGAAAAGGGCCTATCTTATGATTTTGGTAACTCTAATTTTCAATGTTGCTTTTTTGAAAACCCTAATAATCAGTGTAGGTAGTAAAGATAACTTTTGAGGGTCTTACGTAGTGCAAACTCAATTTCTAATGCAATCCCCTCTTTTGGCCAACTCAACCTTCTCGGCACTCCTCATGCTAGCTTCCAACCGGTCATAGCGTGACTTAGTCTTTTATTATGGTACCGTAATCTCCCGGACAAAACACCCCCCCATGATAGTACACCCCCGGGTAGCTTGTGCGGGGTGGGTGCTATGGGCGACCTCGTTTCTACTATACCCCCCTTTTTGGATGATTTTCTATAACACCCCCCTTTTCTTACGGATTCCTATTATAGTTGTTATCGGGTCTGATTCCCTACAGGGGAATATCGCGAGAATTGCTTCCTAAATGAAATTTCGCGCGTACTTGCACTTAGAATCCGCCAACATTTCCCCCTCCCACAATCTCACTGTCGCCACCCCGGCGAATCTTTCGCTGCTAGTGGACATTTCCCCCATCCCACATTCTAGGAAGTTGCCACGCTGGCGAATCTTCTGTCAGATTACTATAGCTGATGCATGTTTGTAGGTTATAGTGGGGTAGCACATATGGGGTACAGCTTTCTAGGGTTGTATTTGTACCCAACCCTGACTTAGTCATTTTCATTCCTGTTTGCTTATTCTCACATGGTATAGAGCGGGTCCTTCTAAGGACCGTTTTTTTTGGGCCCACCGAAGCGCCCCCCGAGGCGCGATTTTTTTAGCGACCCCTCGGGTCGCCATTTCCCCTGCGGCCCCGCCGCCTTCACTGACGCGGCCCCGCCGCCGGCCCTTACGCGGCCCCGTCGCCGGCTTTCACGCGGCCCCGCCGCCGGCTCTGTCGCGGCCCCGCCCCGGCCTTTACGCGGCCCCGCCGCCTGCTCTCACGCGGCCCCGCCCCGGCTCCTTCGCGACCCCGCCGCCTGCTCTCGCGCGGCCCCGCCCCGGCTTCTACGCGGCCCCGCCCCGACTTTCACGCGGCCCCGCCGACGGCTTTGTCGCGGCCCCGCCCAGGCCCTTACTCGGCCCCGCCGCCTGCTCTCACGCGGCCCCGCCCCGGCTCCTTCGCGGCCCCGCCGCCTGCTCTCGCGCGGCCCCGCCCCGGCTTCTACGCGGCCCCGCCCCGGCTTTCACGCGGCCCCGCTGACGGCTCTAACGCGGCCCCGCCCAGGCCCTTACGCGGCCCCGCCGCCTGCCTCCGTCGCGGCCCCGCCCCATCCCGGCCCAGCCGCCCCTTCGCGGCCCGGTCGCCTCCTGACGGCCCCGCCGTCCCTTCGTGACGGCCCCGCCGTCCCTTCCTGACGGCCCCGCCGTCCCCTCCTGACGGCTCCTGCCGTCCCCTTCTACCGGCCCCGCAACTGCACCTGCTGGCCCCGCCGCTGCACCTACCGGCCCCCACCACCCCCCCCCCCCCCCCCCCCCCCTTTTCCCGTCGCCTGTCGAGGCGACCTGAGGGGGCCGCTTGCGGTGTGTGAGAGGCCAGCAGAGGGGTGTCAGGTGTGTGGCCTCCCCTGCTTCTCCTCCTCCTTCATCTCCCACTGCAGCAGCCGAGCCGCTCACCTGCAGCAGCCGAGCCGCCCCACCGCCGAGCTGCCCTGCACCCGAGCCGCCCAGCAGCCGAGCCGCCCTGCCGCGAGCCACCGGGTCGCTGAGCTGCTGAGCTGCAGTTGCTGCCGAGCCGCCCTGCCGCCGAGCCGCCGAGTCACCGAGCTGCTGAGCTGCAGTTGCTGTCGAGCCGCCTTGCCGCCGAGCCGCCCGAGTCGCCCGAGCCGCCGAGCCGCCGAGCTGCCGAGCCGCTGAGTCGCCGAGCCTACTCTTCCCACCACTGGTGAGCTCTTGCCCTGCTAGCACGCTGCGCGTCGCCTGCTTGCCTGCCTGCCTGCCTTTTGGCTTGCCTGGCTGCCTGCCTTCCTGCTGCTAGTCCTGCTCCTGCTTCTACTTGCGGAGCCGGATGCAGCCCCAGCGACGCCTGCGTGAGTCCCTCACGCCCCAGCAGCTGCGTGAGTGGTACGCTGGTTGGGGCTGTAGGGGTGGCGGCGCTCCTCCTCCTACCACTCCTGCTGCTTCTACTCGTGGTGGCGGCCAGATGCAGCTCCCGCGACCCTCTCGCGTGTCTCTCACGCCTCGCCAGCTTCGTGAGTGGTACGCTCAGAGTGGAGGGTCTCTCAGTGCTGTTCGCTGCTCTTACGTGATACGCACTGGTACTCGGACTGGTCAGCCTTGTGGGACACGTAGTCATACACCGTCCCGCTGCTTCGCCCGTCTGAGCGACGCCTGGCGTACCGTGTTTGGCGACGAGGCTGAGCTTCCCGACTGGGTGGAGTTGCTTAGGCAGAGGGTCGATATATATGCTCTTGACTATGATGCTATTCTCACTGCCATGTATGCATTGCCTACTAGTGCTGACCGTGCCGGTCACCTGTGCGTCCCGCCTGACCCATGTATAGGACCTACTGCTCTAGCTACTGGTGAGGCTGCTGCTCTGGGTGCTCGTGAGTCTCCTGCTCCAGGTACAGGTGTGGCTGCTGCTCTAGGTGCTAGTGAGTCTGCTTCCTCAGGTGCGGGTGAGGCTGCGCTCTCAGGTACCGCGTTGGCTTCGGCCTCCCTCACCTTTACACTTGACTCTGGGGCTTCTCGCTCCTTCTTTCGAAACCGCACCACACTCACGCCGCTTGGTCGGCCGGTTGCAGTCTCCCTGGCTGACCCCTCTGGGGGTCCTGTCCTCGCTCACTTTTCCACTGTCCTCCCGTGTCCGGCTGCCCCCTCGGGCACCCTGTCTGGCCTGTACCTCCCCTCGTTCTCGACGAACTTGGTGAGTGGTGCAGACCTACAGGATGCGAGGGTTCACCAGTTCACTCCTGCGAGTCAGCGGGTGACCCACTGCACGGACGCACGCACAGGCCGGCACCTGGCCACAATCTCGCGTCGGCCGGGGTCGAGCCTCTACACCCTGACCACTGAGTCTCCTCCTGTCCCCGCGTCCGGTCAGGTAGCAGCGTCGGGTCAGGTGTTTGCTGCTGCGTCCAGGTCTGGTCCTGAGTCTGCCCCCTGGTCGTGTCGCCTCCTGTCTCACGAGACTCTTCTGTGGCACCACCGTCTAGGCCACCCCTCCTTGCCCCGTCTTCGGGGCATGGCTTCCCGTGTCCTTGTCTCTGGTCTTCCCCAGTCTCTCCCCCCCCTTCCTTCGGGACCAGGACCTTCCTGTGTCCCCTGTGTCGAGGGGCGCCTCAGGGCTGCTCCTCACTCCTCCCAGTTTCCCCCGACAGAGGCTCCTCTGCAGACGCTTCACATGGACGTGTGGGGCCCGGCCCCCGTCCGTGGGCAGGGTCACGAGCGCTACTTCCTGTTGGTGGTTGACGACTACTCGCGTTACACCTCAGTCTTCCCCTTGCGCAGCAAGGGTGCTGTCACTGAGGTGCTGATCGACTGGATCCGCGAGGCTCGTCTCCAGCTCAGGAGGAGCTTCGGCTCGGACTTTCCTGTTCTGCGTCTGCACTCTGACCGCGGTGGGGAGTTCTCCTCTCGCCTTCTGCGAGCCTACTGTCGTGCACAGGGGATCCGCCAGACCTTTACGCTTCCGGACTCTCCACAGCAAAATGGGATTGCTGAGCGCCGCATTGGCATGGTCATGGATGTCGCTCGTACGTCCATGATGCATGCGGCTGCCCCCCACTTTCTGTGGCCGTTTGCGGTTCGGTACGCGGCGCATCAGCTCAACCTTCACCCCAGGGTCTCTCGGCCCGCGATGTCCCCAGTGTTACTGTGGACGGGGAAGGTCGGCGATGCGTCTGCGTTCCGTGTCTGGGGATCTCGGGCGTTTGTCCGCGACTTGTCTGCGGACAAGCTGTCCCCCCGTGCTGCTCCCTGTGTCTTCCTTGGCTTCCCCCCTGACGCTCCAGGGTGGCAGTTCTACCACCCCTCCTCTCGTCGTGTTCTGTCCTCCCAGGACGTCACGTTCGACGAGTCAGTCCCCTTCTACCGCCTCTTCCCCTACCGTACTCCTTCCCTCCCCCCCCCACCGGACTTCCTGGTACCAGTTCACCCCCCGGTAGACCCCCTCCCCCCTCAGGTTCCTGCCCCTTCAGGTGTGTCCCAGGTAGACACGGTCGGTCCAGTCGAGGTTGCTGCTGAGTCTGGTCCTGCTGCGGGTGCTGAGCCTGGGGGTGCTGCTGCTGGGGGTGCTGAGCCTGGGGGTGCGAGGCCGGGGGGTGCTGAGTCTGGGGGTGCTGAGCCGGGGGGGTGCTGAGCCGGAGGGTGCTACGTCAGGAGCTGCTGAGCCTGGGGGTGCTGGGCCTAGAGGTGCGGAGCCTGCGCCTGCTGGACCTGGGGGCTCTCCGGTTCTTCAGTCTCGGCGGGAGCCGCTCTCTCCACAGGAGCTGCGCGAGTGGTTTGCTCGCCGCTGGAGGCGTGCTGTTGGAGCTGGAGCTTCTTCGCCTGCTGAGGGTGCTGGTGCTGTCGGTCCCGGAGCTGCTGGGCCTGCAGGTCCTACTGGAGCTGGAGCTACTGAGTCTGGGGGTGCTGAGTCTGGAGCTGCTGAGCCTGGGGGTGCTACGTCTGGAGCTGCTGTGCCTGGGGGTGCTGAGTCTGGAGCTGCTGAGCCAGGGGTTTCTCCTGCTGCTGCGTCTCGCCGGGAGCCCCTCTCTCCACAGGAGCTGCGCGAGTGGTTTGCTCGCCGCTGGAGAAGTGCTGCTGGAGCTGGAGCTTCGTCGACCGTCGAGGGTGCTGGTGCTGCCGGTCCCGGAGCTGCTGGGCCTGCGGGTCCTACTGGAGCTGGAGCTGCTGAGGGTGTTGGTGCTGAGACTACTGCTGT